TCAAGTCACATCGGAATTCCCTGAGGGGCTTCTTTAAAAAGCCATTTCTGGACTTCACCCATACCCATAGAATCAGAATCTCTGATGCATTTTAGTAAGCACTCCAAGAGAGTCTTGTGATAACTAAAATATACCAACAGCTCCTAACATCATGCCTCTCCTACTAAATAAGAAATAGCAAAAATTAATAAATGGCAGTCCAGATAGTCTTTCCTTTCCTGAATATAAAATATATCCTTATATGTCATTCTTTACTCAAAGGAGTTATTTTAACCAGCCTACTTTAGCATTTGTGAAAGATGGCTTCAATGTTACTTTTACTCTTCATTAAAAAGAATAACCTCTCAAATTACTTATGGAAAATTAATATGGCAGGTATTTTATTAACACCCTGGTATTTTTGCTCTTTGCCCTATTGCTACGGCTGCAAAACCCAAATAAAAGTCATCCTAAAATTGCTATGAGGAACCAAAGAAAAAGAATGAAACCTCTGGTTATAAAATAGTGTCCTAGAAGTTTTATCGTCAGCAAGTAAGTACCAAGGCCACTCAGTGTACTAATATTAGAAATGCAGGGCCGTGGCTCACGCCTGTAATCCCAGCACTTTGGAAGGCCGAGGCAGGTGGATGACAAGGTCAGGAGTTCAAGACCAGCCTAGCCAACATGGCGAAACCCCAACTGCACTAAAAACACAAAAATTAGCTGGGCATGGTGGGGCGTGCCTCTAATCCCAGCTACTCAGGAGGCTGAGGCAGGAGAATCACTTGAACAGGGACCCGGGAGGCGGAGGTTGCAGGGAGCCGAGATCGCGCCACAGCATTCCAGCCTGGACTACAGAGCAAGACTCCTCCATCTCAAAAATAATAACTCAGAAAACTAGCTCTAACAAAGCATATTTCTATTTTCTCCTGTTTTTTTTTCATCTTAATCACTCTAAGCTATAAATTACACGACTTACAAAAATCGTGGTGGGATGAAGAAAACACCAATAGAAAAACAGATTTCTTATGCTATTAACATGAAAGTTCTGCTTTATATATATAACAAATAAATAAGGTGCCAAAAAATGACATCCTTTTAAGCATCCGCACTCTCAATAAAATGTGCAATCGTATTTTGTTCACTGCACTGTAAGTTTGGAAAAAACGCCTTATCAACAGAAATAATTAATTCATTTGAGGAGAAGGGTATCATAAACCCTTTAAACTGTGAAAAAATATAGGCGCTCTCCCCAGAAAAAGGCGGGAAACGCCGGCCCAGTCCCCGGGAGCGCTCGCCGGGACGCCGGCGCCACCGCCCCTCCTCGGGGAACGGCTCGCGCCCCCACGGGAGGCCAGCAGGGCGGAGGCGCGGCGGGCAGGGTGGGGTCCGGCGCGCTACCTTCTCGGCGATGCTGTACAGGACCTCGTCCATCTTCATGCACGTGGGGTCCCAGTCGTGGCCGAAGCGGATGACGACCACGCGGTCCTCCTCCGACAGGATGGCCTGGTCCACCTGCCAGCCGTTGTGCAGGTGCGGGAGCATGTACGACATGGCGGCCTGCGCGCTCGCCGCGGCCTAAGGCCGGGCGCCAGGGAGGGCCCCGCGCAATGGGCACAGCCGGCCCTCGCTCCCCGGCCTCCGCCGCCCAACGCTCGCGCACTACACGCACTCCCGCCAGTACCAGCAAGCTCCACTGGGACTGCCGAAAGGCGGAACCTCTGGGCGCCCACGCACCAACGCCGTGCGTGCGGACGCCATGCGCGTACAGGCGCCGTGCGTGCGACGTCATGCGCGTACAGGCGCCGTGCGTGCGACGTCATGCGCGTA